TCGGACGTAAAGTTATCGTGATTCACCGCTCTTTTACGTAGGTTAAGGGTAGGATGAGAGGTCATTTCCCCCTGGAGGCCAACAATCTGCTTAGTTTTTTAGATTTTTTCGATTTGTTCATTGGTGCGTGCTTCGAAGAGAATGGTACCATTCCTCCGCTTCGAGTTTACCGAAACTGTCCTCAATGGCTCGCGCCAGACGAAGGCTTCTTCGCTTTATCTTCTTCCCTAAGGAAGAAACTACTCAAATCCACCGTTCTCGCAAAACATCGCCTCTTTCTTCCGGATGAGGGCAAGGGGTTTGTTTTATGATCCATAGAATTCAAGCGGATTCTTCCCCGGGTACCCCACCTACCATGAAGTTCAAAGGGACACCCCACTTGGGTGCCAGAATTGCCGTTGATCGTCCCGCTCATCCTGTAGTTCAATACAAGACCTAGACCGATCCGATCCGATTGATAGGGAGTGGGTAAGCAGCACAAGGAGTAGTTGGAAAACAAACATCTCTCAACTGCCAAGCCACTCTTTCCCTCCGACGCGGGTCGCCATGCACGCACACACAACGGGTTGGGGCATCCCCTCTTGAATACGGGGGGGGGGGGAGTGAAATAGAAGGGTATGAAGAAAAGAGACACAATGTTATCAAAGAATGGCAATGAACGTGAGGAAGATAAGGATGACTGGTGAAAGAAATGAATACTTGAGAGCCCTCCCCGCATCTCTTAGACAGGGCCTGGACCGACCCACCTCGAAGGGAAGAAAAAGCGAGACACATTCCGATTTAAATATAGTGTCTCTTCCATGTCACGAGCTGGAAGGAGGAGACACTCATCTAATCGGGAACTTCATTACGAAGCGCTCGGATTGGATGGCAGTGTTCCCATCTCCTTCCAACACGTGATCTTGGAATTCAACGAAAAGGAGCTTTGAACCGTTTTTACACGCGTACTATCGGAACCTGGAAGACGTTTTGCCCTTGATCTCCCTTTTCTTCTTCCTTCTCACTTTCTTTCTCCGTCTCTAGCTCTGTCTGTCCCTGTCTCGGGTAATATCGAGAAGCGCCGGACCAGAAAAAATGTAATAGAATGTTAATCTCATCCTGTATATTACGGTGTGACAAACGTATCTTTGAGACCTTTTGCCTCAAATTTTAGTTTTCAATGCCCTAAACGTTTCGGTTAGGAGTTAGTTAACGATATAGATTAAAAGTACTGCGGAGTGTTGCGGGTTGCGTTTGACAGGAATATTTTGTTTTGTTCTACAGAGCCATCTAGTAGAGTTATAACAAAATTGAAAGCACACAAATAGTCTGGCTGAAAAAACACGTAGGTGTCCTAACTATTATGGAGATCTGTACACGTAGGCTTCCGCGGCTCGAGTCCATTACTTCTAGGCTGTCCGGGTGACGCCGCGTCGTTGGCAGATAGGCCGACGTTTCGCCTGTCATGTCGCAGGCTTCTTCAGGGTACTGACATAGTTGACATAGTCAACACCGGAGGCGGAGCTTTACTATGTCAGTACCCTGAAGAAGCCTGCGACATGACAGGCGAAACGTCGGCCTATCTGCCAACGACGCGGCGTCACCCGGACAGCCTAGAAGTATTATGGAGATCGGCCAAACGGTGTCTGAGTTAACCGCTCTTATATATACCAACATTCGAGAAATATTAAAGAACAAATTTGTAATAACTTTTGAGAAACTGTTTAAAAACTCCGGATACTTCACGCATTTTACGCGAAAATGATTCATATTTTCGAATAATTGATGTTTCCGGGCACGCCAACTGCTATGGTCATTAGTTCCGTTGGTATAGTGAATGTTTCATCTCTGGAGACGAGTTTTCTAGTTGAAGTGTGGGATCCGGCGCCGACTTTAATGACGAGGTCTAAAAACTGAACATGATTATATTTAAAGAGCTGTCTTTGTAGAATAGATCTGATTAAGAAGGCAAAAAAATTTCAACTTTTGAAATTTTCGAAAATTCAAATAATTGTGACATTTTTCGCCTGTGGCATTGTTCCATCCGAAGAAAAAGTTTAATCAAAAAAGTTGGAGGCATTTTTGAGAAAATTTGTAAATGTTAAGGCTTTATTCAAAGAAGCCTTAATCATGAAAATATCCGTTTCAAATTTGAAGGGAGCCACGAGCTACGCCTCTTCGATCAGGGAATATACATTTTGGCAAACATTGCCTGAACGGTAAAGGTTCTAGCGTCAACCATGAGCGAACGGGCAGACGTTTTGCAGTCGCCGAATTTTTCTGTATCAAGGGCCCACAAAACGTTGGTTCTGACTACACAACGTGTTAGGGAATAGTATGTTCAACGAGCGTAGAAATGCAGCTATTATTCATGAGTTGATGTTTACGTCGCTGGCGTCGTAATTTCTACGAGTGAATAATAGCCAAAAAATGCGAGAAGAATACTATACTTCTTTTGCGACTTCGAAATTGATATTTAAAGATACTAAAAGAGCGCCTTAACCTACCAGATTACAACAGAACACTCAATGTCATCTGACCCTAACAATCACCAATTCGTGTAGTTTCGTGGTTCACCTGTCTTACGACAGTAGCGGCCTGCCGCGGCAGAGCGCGCTTCTGCAGGCGACAGCGAGAATCCTCGGACGTGTATAATGAACTAAGACGAATGTGATTGGTCGACATCTTGCGGGATCGTCATTACTGCATCCAATAACGTGCAGAAATGTATACATTCTGAAGTCGTCGTAAAGAAAGTTATTTACTGCATATAGGAACAAGATTTGTCCACTTTTTTGTTCGGCCGAGAGAGGTGGCATCAACTGATGTCACTGCAGTGCCTCTGCCCAGGAGGTTCTAGGTCGAGTCGGTGGGAAGATTTGCCACTAGCTACATAGATAGGTCGAATTCAGTTTGTCTGGAGGATAATTTTAGCGGCTGGCTGCTCTGATCGGTAGTTTTCCGTGGTTTCCCCAATCAAAACCAGGCGAATGCCGGAGCAGTGCCCTAACAAACGGGCTACGAATCACGCGCCGATCTTCCCTTGCTCTTCCTTGTCCTATCATCACCTCTTACCTAATACCTATACACACAATTGCATGCACTACACTACCTCACAGGCCAGGCGACTGCTTGAGAGCTTAGAGCTTGTCCCGGGATGAGAGTGTGCCCCGCTGGTGGGAGATATTTGTTTGGGGAAAAGCTCGTTAACCGACAGGTAGGTCCAGCGGGGGAAAATCACCGGCACCTCCTGAGGAAGAAACATGCACTGCACTTGCGAGATTAATGACCTTAGCTGTTGACGCGACCCAAATCACTAATCAATCCACTTTTTCGTTACCAGGGCCCGGCAATAAGAGTTTTTCAATCAAAATTGATGTTTCCCCCAAAAGCTTTTCAATACTTTCTCCATACTCCTTAAGCAATTATAATCAAAAACCGTATTTTTGTTATGTGTTCAGGATTTTCGCGATATGGAGCGACACCCTTTGGACGTGTTCCGCACCGGTATTTTGGCCCCTTGCTTCCTTTGAAGTTCACTCTTGGGGCGAATGCAAATCTTTCGAGAAGACACACCTTGTGGTCGTCCTTTCTGACGCCTGGGATTGATCCATTAAAATCGCCTGTTTCGTCGCCCGAGAGATAAATCCTTTCTCCGTTAGTGGGTGAAAGCAGCGTAGCGAAATTTGTGTGATCAGACGAAAGAGCGGGGCTGATGACCCGAGTCTCGCCACGTAAAATAAGGCATCAATTTAATCCATATTGTCTCCGCCAGATGTCGGTCTTAGTTGATAATGTTCGATCTGTCTGGTAAGAAGAGGAACCGTCAAGGGCTTGCTACAACTAATTTTCTTCAGTAATTTACTTCTGTACAAAAGGACTGCATCAGCCCCTCTTACTGGTCACTCATAGGCTTCTTTTTTACATGTAACTGTGTTAAATCCATCCAAACTGACTACAACAAACACACTAATTCAATTTTCTATCATGGTGGATATCGTGCTTTGCATTTGTATCAAGATTACTGTTACTGCAAAATTTTTCCTCAATCTTCTTATCCTTCTGTATAGAAGAAATAACTATGACAGATATTGATTGATTGGCACCTAAGATGTCATTGTCACATCTTTGTAAAGCTGCAGTCTTGAATTTACCTCATTTTGCTTATTCGGCAAGAGTTCTACAGGGATATACAGTTTGTTCTTATAAAATGTTTCAATTGTGGTAAATTTCTTTCACATGGTATGCTTGTGTACCAATTGTCGGTTGCCACGTTTCTACATGATCCTGAAACATGGATGACACACCGTTGTTCAATTTCTGACTTCATGAACAGGACCTCTCGTAGAGTTCCAAGATAAACCTCAAAATTTAGAAGACAAAAAGTTCTACCAGAGCAAATACATTGATACCATGATAAAAATGTGCAAATTGTCAAATGGGTTCCCCACAAACTTTAAATGCACAAAACAAGAATGCTAAATGTGTAAATTAATAGAATTGGGTCTGTGACCTGTAAATTCAGACATTCTGTTGGAAATTGCAGTAACGAGAATAAGCTAATGTTATTCCACTATAATCTGAAAATCTTCAAAAATAAATTCAGCCTCTCTATCCTGCAAAAGTTATTGAAAGGTTTTGCAAATAGCATAAGCTTTCAAAAACTCATTAACTCATTAAAGTAATGGCGCCAAGTTCAAAATCATCACTTGTACACCCACAACACAATACACAAGTTGTACTGCAAGAGATTTTGTGAAATAAATTGACTTGCAAATAATGCATCAATGCAATAAAATCAAGGACAAATAATGCAATGAAGTGTGCCACTTGAACCACGTTACATAACATGAAATCAACATAATTTCAATATCTTCAAATAATAATTTGGATTCATGAAATGAGGCACTTTTTCATTAAATTGTACACTCCTCCCTTTAACCCACAAACATTTTTTGAAACTTTTTTGATTTACAAAAGTAAGTAATGAAAAAAAAATCAGTTATTGTTTCACTTCTTACAGGTTTCAATGAGTCCCGATGCAGGCAGTGTAGAGTTCCATCAGCAAGTGCCACCATTACATAAAAAGGTGGAGGCAATTTTGATGTAGTAACACAAACTACTGGTGAAGATGCCACAAAATGAGACTGATGCTGCCAGAGCTGGAAGATAAATTATTACAAGAATACTGAAGCAAACATAATACATATAAAAATGGTAATTTGATAGAAGTCAATATCATGGAAAACTGCAACCATAATTTTCCAGACACTTACCACTGTCTTGTAGGGCTCTACCGAGTTTGTATGGTTCTTTGGCTGGAACAGTTTATGTATGGGTAGAGGTTTCTCACGTAGTTCCCAGATCTCTACTAACCCTCCAGCACCACCATTACAACTGTTTCCATTTACTGACATTCCTGCAATACGAAGTTGTAGAACATATAATTTGACTTCTATCTAATTCATAAAAATATCCTTGTAATTATTCAGGGAATATTCCATGTACAGTAAAACCCTGTTTTTACATTCCTACAATTTACATTTTCCTGCCTTTTACAAATTTTTTTTGCTGGTCTCATCTTAAAGCCTATATTTACAATGCATTCTCTCCCACAATTTACAACTTGATGTGACGAAAGCTTCCTGTCTTTTCATCATTTTCTCTCTATTTTTTAACTTTCATGTATACGTATGTATTATACGTAGGTTACAGAAAGTTATTTAATGCATTGGCAAAAAATAGGTGATTTTTTTACCGGAAACTCGTACCAACACACAAGATATACATAAAACTTGTTGCAATTTGCAATAAATTGCTACATATGTATGTACATATGCTACATATGTATGTAGCAATGACTGCAAACGCCTCAAGTTCATTCAGATCAAACAGGGAATATCAAATCTGAAGAAAATCAACTGAATGGTTGAGCACTAGCATTTACCACAAGCAGACAAACGTTTTGCCATCAATCAATTTTTTGCAATCAAGGACACACAAAACATGGTTTGTAATTACACCATGTGTTAGAAGTAATGTACTATATATATGAAATAGATTTATCCAATTTTTCATTACCAGTGCCTGTCAATAAGAGTTTTTGTAAATAATTCACCGTTCTCTGGCGCACAATTATATTACTTTCTCTTCTCACACAGTAAGGGCGAGAGTGTAAAAACAGAGCCACCATTGCAGTAAATAAAGTAGGTACTCGCCTAGTCTACCTTTTTTAACTTTCCTGCATTTTACACATTTTTCCATCGGTCCCCTGAAAAGTGTAAAAAAGTGGTCTTACTGTATAAAGAATACCAAGAATAAGAAAAAGTGCCCTCCAAAATACTTTAAGAATATTTAAATTATTGTATGCAGTGAAACTTGAAGAAATTACATCCAATTAACAGTGACCTCCAGTAATCTTTTTTTCAAGGACCTGATTTGTTTTTCCCTGTGACTGTCAATATTCCCAGTTTAAAGTAGTCTTCTGGCCTTCCTGTGTACCTCACTTGGGGGGATTAATTTCCGATGCAGTGGGCAACCTCTCTCACACAAATGAATGGTAAAACTTCCTCCACTCATTTGAGAATAAGGGCTATTGGTGAATACTATTAATTCAATTCTTAGACATGAGCCTCAATAAATTAAAATATCTAAGGAAGAGTGATAGTACACTTTGATATCTTACCTCCACTACTACTACTAACACTGCTGCTACTGCTGCTGCTACCACTGCTCGTGTAACATCCCCCATATACACTGTTTGGAGTGCAATTTGTAGGTGTGCCAGGAGGAGGATCAGCATTAGAAGCCACCACAAGTGAGTCAGCATCTTCACGCACCACAAATTTCAACTGTGCAACATGACGATCTGGTCACAAAAAACAAAGGTGATACAATATGATAATGAATAAAAATTGTGATTAAAACCAATTAAATAAGAGTCAGCTGATTTACTTTGTTTTTCAATCAAATTTTTATAAGCACTTAAAGAATAGATTCCTTAATTAAATACATGCTCTGCCTAAATACCAACAGAAAGAGGTTATCATTTGGAACCACACAAAAAAGTAACATCACTCTGCTGACAAGACAATCCAACAATAGTTAAGAAAAGCAAAAAAGTTTTAGATACTTTTCAAGTTTCTTTGTTACATGATGATAAAGAAGCAAAACTCAGTGACACTGTCACAAATCAAGAACTTTCTGCTATCACTGGTGTTAGTAAACAGTCAATCAATTCACCAATAATTCTCCAATTGCTTTTCTCACTGTTTCCGAGCACATCAACTGCTATTGTAATTAGTTACATTAATGTAGTGAATGTAATCTCAGGTGGTGGTCGTGTTGTTCCCTTGCTGGAAGGAGCCCTCCAGCAACTCCCACAGTGGAGAACCGCCCCACTCGGGACAAGCTCCAAGCTCCTCATTGGTCTCCACAAGTGGGGTAGTGTAGTGTGTGTAAAGGCGACTCCACACATTCGACATGCACTGAGCAGCGAGCTACAGCTCACTCAATCCCGAACACCTGATGTGTTCAGCAAATGTTCGCTCTCTTTAATATGTCCTGAAGACTGACACGCAGTGGGTAGGACAAACTCCAAATGTTTGGCGCTCAGCAAATCACAAGCAACCCATCCACACTACTCGGAATTCGATGAGCAAGCTCGGGATTTGCCGAATGCTGCATGTGCGGAGCCATCTTAAGAGTACTTGTAAAGGGAGATGATATGACAAGGAACAAGGAAACATTGTGTGTGGTAGAACATAAAATAGGTAACTCACATAATCCCTCCGCAGCTGCTGGGCTTGACTGAAGAAAGAAACTAGGAAGAGCTTGGGAAACTATTACACATTTCTCTTCACTCTGCTTTACTGACACCCTATAGCACTGAATGGGCAAACTTGCCGAACCACTGCTCACAGCAACAAGAAAGTGACCATCTGTAACAATTGGTTAGGGATTATTCTATCACTTGTTGCTTTAAAATTTGATCAGAAATTTACAGATAATACTTATTACATATATTAGACAATGACAGCAAGTGCAGTACAATGAAAATGATCACACACAAATAACACTGATTTGTTGCAGTATTTTCATCATAAGAAAATTATTTCTCATATTTAAATAATAAATCAAACAGAATCCTCAGGAAATCATCAGTGGCCCAAAACACCATTTAAGCACATTTTGAAAACCGCTGTTTTAATACATGATATAGTAATGAACAGTGGCTCTTACTTTTTCCATAACAAACATCAGCAGCTGCAATGCGGTGCCTAGTGGAGCCCAAACTGTCACTGGCAGTGGCAAGCAAAGGCGCCATTCCACTGCCTCCAGTTAAAGGCAGGGCTCCTGCAGGTGCATTCTCTTGTGTAAGCGCTGCAACCCCCACCATCCCAGTTGTGCTGATGACAAGGCAGCCTTCTACAGGCCGACCTCCAAAGTGTCGTACAGACGGAGCAAAGCGAACGTGGGTGAATTTCTCAGTATAAAAGACAGCATCCTTCTTCTCAGCACATACACTGATCTATAATAAAAACACATTTTTTTCAACAATATAGAATACCTAGTTTTTAACTGTTTATCATAGTAAATATAGTTATTAACTTTATAATGTAACAAAGGACAAATATGTTCAAAGATGATCAAACCATATAAAAGGTGTTATTTTCATGCAATGTTCTGGCATGAGGGACAATAACAAGTCATCCATTTACATCTAAAATATTGAAACAAGAGTTGCTCAAAATCCAAAAGATAAAATGGAAGACAATTATAATCATACCAACTTGTTAACAACAAATAATCTAATCATATTAAATTCTAAAATTAAGCCAATAAAAAAAATTACAAAAGCATAATAACAACATACATCAGGTTACCCATACTAATTTCAGAACAAATATTCCACAATACCTTTTTGCCATTATGGAAGAATGCAGCAGCTAAAATATGTTCACCAGAAAATGTTGCTGCTCCTAAACACAACCAGTCATTGAGAACGTGTTCTCTGCAGCTCCATATTTGAACAAGACCAGCAGCATCTGCCAGCAGAAGCTTCTCTCCAGGCAAGTCCCATTCCAAAGCTGTCACCCCCGCACGATTTGATGTAACCCTACACAAACACATCAGTACAGAACATTTAACTCATTTCGTACTCAAATCTCAATATTAAAGACTTTCTTGAGGCACGATCAATATACAATAGTACTGCAATTATCCAAATTAAACGGGGATTGGACCAATTCACACAAAACAAGTAAAAACACCAGACTTAGAAAAAAAATATTCATTCAAAATATAACTTGTGGTTTGTTCTTACTTTCTCCAATACTAGTTACATATTACTCCAATACATATTACAGAGTACATACAGAGCATAATGAATTATGTCTATAACACATACATAACATTCATTACGCTATGTATGTACTCTCGTACTCTGTAAAAACTATTATTGGAGAAAGTAAAAACAAACCCCAAATTATATTTTGAATTAAGGTTCATTACACACACATTAAAATTATATATAACATGTGTAGATGTATGTATGTATGAATATGTATATGTACACACCATATTACATATTCAGAATTTTTTAATATACTATTTTCAAAAAAAAAGAATCTAAAATATTTAATGAATTTATTATGAACACTTTTTCTGACTAGTTTAAAATAAAAACAATAATGCATGTTCAAACATTCAGTCATTATTTATTTATACTTTCACAATTGGAAGGTCTTTGTCTCCTTTTTCTCTCAAAATTAATATGGCTTATTTAAGATTCATATCACCAGCCTTATACTTTAGAGGGACAATAACAATCTTACATATGCAATACTTGAATGCATGTTCAATACATATGAAAACTCCTCAATGAACATGCAGTGAAGAGAGAACATCCGAATAACATCAAAATAGCCACCTTTGCCTTTTTTATATGGGAAATGGATAAACATTGCAACAGATTAACAATCTGTTACCAGTAAATACACTATTTAATTTATTTTGGGTAAACTAGAGAGGTCAAGAAAGTTAAACTCAGAAATACTCATCAAAGTTTGCTCTTTCAAAGAATTTTTTTACTGCTCTTAGGTAAGCATTTAAAATATAAAAAAAACATAATTAGGGAGTGAACACATTCAAAAATACACACAAAAAATTGATTTTACATTCCTTGTAGTTCTCCTGGCTGCTGACTACCTGTTATGTGGAGTAACAATCACAAAAGATTTTAAGATTTATATTGGCATGCAAATTGTACAGTATGAAATAGAATTAGATAACTTGAACGTTAATGTTTGTACAATACATGCATTTTATTGTTTCCCATACATGCAAGTCATGTAGAGTGTAGAGAAAAATAGTGACAAAACTTTCTTACTTGTGGCTATGCCAAGGCGTATTCAAATCTGCAACATACACATGTGATCCCCAGGACTTTCCACTGGCATCCTCAAGTTCTGTGGTTGTTGTAAATGCCACAGTATTTTTGCTAGATACAGCACATAAAGTGTGTCCTTCGTGAAGGCTGTTGAAAGAATATACATTATAATTCTAATAATTCATTACAACTGAACCACATTAAAAAGTAGGATAAATATTGCATATTGCTGATCGAGTGAGTCAATCATACACAAATCCTTTAGAGTTAAATATATACAATAGACGTGAGAACAAAAACAATGCAAATTTGGAGAATTACTGATAAAACAATTTTGATCTCATTTAGATGAAAATACATTCTTGGCATCTTCATCAACTGAATTTATTTTAAATCAGTTGTTGACAAATTTGCATTATCAACAAATTTTAAGATTGTGCCAAAAATCAGGACTTTCGTTTTTAAGCAAAGATGACTACAGTAGAGATGAAACCAGATAAATAAAAATAGAAATATCTGACTACAATGAATAATAATTACTTGATTATTTTCTGTATTTTATTTATTTTAATTAACTATAATATATAAAAATTATTAATAAAGCAGTCAAATTCACCAAACAAAATAAAATTCTGATAATAATAAAACTGTATTTCCTCTCATTCAAGTGCAAATCAATTTAAAGAGGTCCAAGAGTAAAATTAAGTAAGGTAGGTAATTAGAACTTAAATGAAAAAGTTGATTATTCTTTGATAACAGAGAAGAGTGTTCAAGGATTTTTAAGTTAAACTAACCGCAGGAAACAAATTCGTTTAGAGTTTGGGTGCAAACACACTGAAATATACTCTTGATTACTATGACTTAATAAATATGAAACATTAATAAGTTGACAATTAAATTAGTACAAGTTTTATTTAGGTATGCAAGAAGTGTGTTCATTTTGCATGACACCAATTGTGTCACCATACAAACTTCAAATTGCACATCAGAGGTTACTTTGAGAACAATTAACTACTAGCAACTAATCACATAATATCAAAATATAAATATAATTTTACCACAGCAATTACGATTATACATGAAACTGATTTACATTAATATAGCCTTTGAAGAGCAGGAATTGGCATAATTAATTTTTTTTAAATTGTCAACATAACCTCATGATTCAATGATATTCCAAAAGATCACTTTTTAAGGGTGAATTTAACAGAAAACTTACCATTCATAATTTTGAAAAGATTTTTGATTGTTCGCTGTATGTTTTCTCAGTACTGAATATACCAGATCCATTTTATTGCTCTCATTGGTTCAAACACAACAAAAATATTACGACATATAAACCTTACTTAGACTTCTAAATGTATAGTACATATCTATAAAATAGTAGAAATGATTATTTTGAACAGATTTTGTATTGCTATCATATATCGGGGCATTTAATCTAAGCCACACGCAGTATCAACTCCTACAACCCCGCAACGTGTCATTCAACCTTTCGCGCACTTCGTACATTTCTACGAACCGCTTTCGCCTGTCCCGTTCTTGACGTACAACACATGCAGGCAACAACACCCCGTTGACATCCAATACTTCCACAATCACACGCATTACCACTGCAAGTCATTTCATATATTTATATACATAACAAATTAAAAACGGAAACATTAAGGCAACCGAAGGCATCAGTTCACTCCCTCCAAACAGTACCTACGAGAATGGGCGCCATTGAATAAACACTTCGCGGTATTCGATAGTCACGCCTGTATCGAGTTTCCAACTTTTTTTTTTCTTCCCCGTAAAGCTTGTGCTGCTATCTCTTCTAGAATTAGTCTTAAATATGGAAAGACGACCCAGACGGTGAAAGAGTAGGATTGTTGCTTGAAACTCAAGGGTGGTGAATTCTTACAGAATACTATTTCCATGAGTCATGACTTTGCATCTTATTACACTTTCAATCTATCCTTGTGCACAAATTATAATCAAGTTATTAGTACTCGAATACTTCAATAGGCAGTAAACAAATATTAAAAATGTAAAGAACTGAAATAAAAAATCCATAAGTGTCTTATTTCAATGCGTTTAGCAAGGACATCCCATACCTATAACAAAACCTTGTAGAGCACTACGTAATAAGAACAAGTCGCGTTAATTATAGACAATCGTGACCCATTTAATAGCACAACCTAGGTTACTACAGGAATTAAATTATTACCAAAAATTGTTTATTTAACCACGAATGACGGATGGTGTAAACAAATCCCAAAGAAATCTAAGAGATAATTGTGTAATCAATTTAATAATAGTAATTCACATTCAATGTTTCCGTTTAATTCAAAATTGGATAAATCTACTAAGCTATTCATATTTATTTTAAACATTTGATATTGCAATATAGTAAAATCCAAAGAGTTCAAATGAATATATTTAAATTCTAATTATTTTTTTTAATCTACAGGTTCCAGTCTTATTATTTCTTTAGATTCGATAAACATCGAACTGAAATTAATTTCGTATAGGGTCCTCTATGTATGAGCCGAGAGAATGTCAGCAAAATCCATTCCGAATTACGAACAATGCTCTTGATAATCTACTGGTTACCGATCCGCTCCTTCCGCCATGCCTTCTTCCCCCTCTCCTTCCTTCCGACTAAGCGTGGGGCCACAGGTGCGTCTGCGCCTTGATAATCTGCAGCGCTGCACGCCCGCTGCCCATTATGACCAGGCAGCCTCCCCCCCGACAGCAAACCCGCTACGCCATTGCGCAAGGGTTCCCCGCAGGGCTGCGCCGCTCCCATTTCCTGCCACGAGCCCTTTTTGCTTATTACCATTATTGCACAACCCCAAACAGCCATGCGTACAGCACTTGAATCTCATGAAAATACATAATTACGATCTTTCATACATAATGCACAAATTTGCTATAACGCAACACTGCAAATTACATAATAAATGAATACACAATATACAGAAAATGATACAACTTTTTGAAAAGAAAAGGCTTTCCATTCTTACATGTTATTAAAAAACATTACTATAATAAAAGAAAAACGAAAATACTTTTAATAATTAAATTTGTTCAAAGAATTCATTGCCCCGACCGGGACTCGAACCCGGGTCTTGTGGTTTAACCCCAACTGCTCTAACCAATAAGTTACCGAGACAACCAAGCCATTGATCAGTTTTTACGAGTATTATTATTATCGCTCCTTGCATATATTACATATAATTGTCAGCATCCCAATGACCTTGGGCGCAATTACGCTCGGGGAATATATTCTGCAATCGTAAAGGAATCCAAATTGTGACCACGTTACTGAGTAATAATTTAATAATTAAATTTGTTAAAAGAATTGGTTGACCCGACAGCGTAAACCAGAAGGCCCGGGTTCGAGTGCCGGTCGGGGCAACCAATTCTCGCAGGCCTCGAAGGAACGAACTCACGGCATTTGACTTCAAACGGGAGCCTCCTTGGCCAAAACACGTCAAAACCACCAGTGGACGACTCACTGCGTTCGACCCTCAACCGCAAATTTACAAGGCCAATATGACAGGCAAAACGCCGGGGAACGAACTCACGGCATTCGACTTTCGACCAAGAGCCGCCCTGACCTGCAGGACGAGCAACTGCCAGTGGACGAATTCACTGTGACCGATCTTCGAACACGAACACCCAATACCAGTGGGGCCGACAGCGGTCGAACTCGCTGCAAATGGTTCTCGACTGCCACCCTCCCGGGCGAATAGACAATATTTCGGGATATAGTGGAATATATTCAAAAACGGACTACGCGCACAGACTTTCGAGGTATGGCCAACAATAATTACAAATCCTGAAGAAAATGGGACGCCGACGATTTATTTATTTACTTACTTATTTACTTACTTATTTATTTACTTACTTATTTATTTATTTGCTTACTTATTTACTTATTTATTTATTTACTTATTTATTTATTCACTTATTTATTTATTTATTTATTTATTATTTATTTGTTTGTTTCAATTTAGGATTTATTTCCTCCTTCTTGAACCTGTATGGTACGAACGAAAACTTGGCCATAAATGAAAGGCGGCCTGCCATTTATTACAGAGGTTTTACAGTGAATCAAAATTGACTTTCTTTTGTGCTGTGATAACCAGAAAGCGACAGGCGTTCAATTGAAAAAAAAAGTGGTTTTAATTTACTTATTTAAAATCTAAATGGATAGTTACGGGAGGTGTTTAAAGAATTTTAACATAATAAATCATACATAATGATATATATTTACAATGTATTTATAAATATAAAATTCAAAAAGTGAAAAATTATTTTATCTTAAAGTTAATTAAAATGTGCTGACACGGATCTACGGGTCTCGGACATGGATCCATGGACCCACAATTTTCGAAAAATTGTACATGACCTTATTTGAAAATCTGTCTTTAAGGAACAGATTTCATTTAAGAAAAAATCTCTATCTTTAATATTTTAGTTGAACAAAGACTGAAAAAAGTTGAACTTTTGCAATTATCCAAAAATCAGGGTTTTTAACGAACATGAGACCCGCACCATAATCTTAAACGTCCTTCACACTACCTAACAAATTTTTTTATCAAAAACGATGGAGACTTTTTCTTTGATTTGAAAAATGTTCCAGGGAGCTCATTTAAAGTACCCCCTAAAATTAAAATATAAGTTTCAAATTCCACGGGCCGTGACATCAGCCAGATTGACTGAGGAATATCAATTTTGTAGAAAATCGGCTGAACGGTTTAGCCGCTAGCGTTGTTCACAGACGAACGGCACAAGCAGACGTTTTGCCGTCATTCGATTTTTCGGTTTTAAGAACCCACAAAACATGGATTCTGGCTAGAACATGAGTTAGAGGATTTATTTTCTAAATTTATCAACTGGATGTATCCACTTGGTCGTTACCAGAGCCCTATAAGAAAAGTTTTTCTGCCGAAAATTCGCGGTTCTTTCGCGCAGCATTACATAACTTTCTCTCTACTCCGTGAAAATATTTTTGGATAATCATTCATACAAATCATTCAAATAATAATGAGAAATACGAGAACAATTTGTAGAAAACTCTAAAATGTATCGAAAAAAACGCGCGTTCTATCCTTAGTCTTTTAGTTACGAATGGGAATCCTGAATCTCGCTGTGTTTTAGCTTGGTGGTACGTATGGAAAATGTCTGCAAATGTTCTCCAGAGGCGTGTAACGGCTCATATATCTTTCTTAGTCCGCTTGAAAAGAGGTGATACGACGACTGCCACGTATTGGAGTGTGGCCGAAGTATGAGAACTTAAGAAGATAAAGAAATTATCAAAATAAGAAGAAAAGAGAAAAAATATAATAAAAAGAAAAGCTAGAAGAGGCTTGAGACATATTTTGTGAAATCTGTTCGACTTTCGTTAGTCGCGAACAATAATGTTTGTATGTTAGCGAAATTTAATTTTTATATCGATATCATGCGTTTTTATTTAAATTCTATGTATTTACATTTATATCGTAAAATGAAAAATATAATACTCTAACCCTACGTCCTTTTGCAGCTCTGAATTCAACGATTTTAATAACAAATCCCCCCTCAAAAAATTCATCTGTGGATCCGCCCCTGAAATGCTGCAATCCGCCCCTGAAATGATAAGTTCCATACTCGGCTCTATCAGGCTATGAGTATCATTGGCTTTTAACGCTGCGCTCCAAAGAGTAGCCCAAGTAAACTAAAAACGATGTTGTGGAAGTTGAATAAAGCAAAACAATTTGTTAATATCAAAATAAACACACTTTTGAATGATTTTTCTCGCACGTGATTTTAAATTACACTCTCCAATGGCAACTTCTGTTTAGACGTCCTTGCAGAAGCAAGCAGCATCGTCACCTCGGAGGCAAGTGACGGTCATTCTCTCGGACGGCGCAGCGCTCAGACCGTAATCTAAGCGGGTGCCCGGGACGGGTCGAAGGGAAACCACAGCAAACAATGATCGTGACAGATAGACCAAAAGAAACAAATATGAATGTTACAAATCAGGATGAGAGCATATACGACACTATTATTAATGCCGTTTTGAGAGAAAGATTCGTATTTCTTACGAACTAATTTTATAATATTTGAAAATATATCTTCGTCTACGATTTCTCCAAATATATAAAACATAGTACATCATTTCCTCTCTTTTTATTTTCTCACCATATTACGTACTTACGTAGTAAAGAGTTGCAGATGCTGCAGTAAAAATCGGCAATTTTTCAAAAGAAAACTCGTATGATGGGGCCCTGGTATCGAAAAATAAATAAATCGCGTACTAATACATAGTAAATTATTTCCTCCAACACCTCATGTAGTTAGATTCTACGTTTTCTGGCGCGCGCTCGGTGGCCCATTTGTTAGGGTACTGCTCCGGCATTCGCCTGGTGATAATGGGATATAACACGGAAAACCGATCAGCGCGGCCGGCCGCTAGGATTCTCCTTCAGACAGCGCCTGAATTCGACCTACTAGCTATCAAACTAGTGTCGAAAATCGTCGTCGAAAAAATCAAAATCGAAAAATAAGATCGAAAATCGAAAAAAAATTACCGCCGGGCCTCGAACTCCAGGGCGGTACCGCCGAAAAAGTAAACATCCCTGAGTGTTAAATGTTCCCGGGCGCGTCAATTACTTTGGCCATTAGTCCTGCGAGTACATCATGCAACCGGTGATTCTCCCCCACCTGCAACGTGAGGTTGACGCCGATTTACATGACCGATAGCGGGGTT